TAAGTTGGCAACAAATTTGCATTGATGATGATCGTCATCAAGTGTCCGGTGATTTATGATAGGCCACTGTACATGTACATGTTAGATTGGGGGGGGGGGGGGATTTCACGCACTAATTAATCAATAATCGATAGTACAGATTTTTTTAATATTTATGCACCTATGTAGATCCTGAGCAGACCCAACTATATTATTTGGCCAATAGAATATAAGATCTGTGTATAACATTCGCTTCTATATTGTTTTAAGTATTATAAAAATTTTTAACGACTTATAAATAATTTTTTAAACAGATTATCTGCCTATGAAGCGGAATCTTGTGGTTTGTAAGTTATTCTGTTTTCTTTTCGAATATCTCTCAATTGTTCACCAGTTGCTTGAATTTCGTCTATTTTTGTTACAGCAAGAAGCATTTTAGCTTGTTGAGTAGTATTGGTCATGTTCGGGTGGGTTTTTAAGTCCCACTTATTGAATAGGCCCTCGATTTTGCTGCTGGTGAACAATAATGTACCAAATTTTGTTTTTAACGAAGTCGCATAGCAGCAGGAACTGGTGAAATGAGGCAGTTGATTCGCTAACGAATCAACTGAATTCTTGAAAAGCATTTCATTAGTTAATGCATCTTTAAGACCGAAATCATCAAAATTTTCTTTAATAACGTCGGTTTCAAGATACTTTGCATAACAAAGTTCTTTTAGACTAGGAATATTCGGCCAAGGCTTTTTAAGTACTATATGCCAATAAAAGCCAGTTGAACAAACGCTCATTTTTTAATTTAACCTAATTGACGATACAAAAACGAGATTTAAAAAGATGTAGCGTTAAAACTATCTTGAAGTTTACAATAAAATTCGACATATAATAAACAAAAGGCCTTTTGTCAATGTTACGGTTTTAGATTCTCAGTTTTGAAGTCAAATTCTCGTTAATGTAATATCACTAAATGGTTAATTAATTAAAAATTTTAAACTGTAACTTCTTTTGATTACACTGCATTAATTGTTTGCCACAAAAATTGCTAAAAAAAATCGTTAGTACACGACTTGTGTCAATTTGTTGAACACTAATAAATTACTAGTAACGACGCAGCAATTTTGCCGATCAATTTTATGCATAAATCTAACAGTAGTTGTATTATTATTATACCTTACATAGTTTTGATTAATTAGTGCGTGAAATACCCCAATGTTAGATGTACTGTACATGTAATTGACATCGAGACTACTGCAACCATAACGATAATAATTAAATAATTCACGAACCATCTGACATAGACATCGTTACTGTGGTAACAATGAATTCCGTAATCCTTAATTTTCCAACATGGGTTCGCTAATATACTCGAAATTGACGTATCATGAGTTACCGTCACTAATTTAAAAACAGTTTTGTAACGATAGACGCGTGGATATAGAATATAGGCTTGTTTATCTTATATATCTTGAGTGATGATGCTTACAAAATTCAAATATTAATATTTTTATATGATTTTTCTTTATATATGAAAATCTTGAGAGAAATTCTTGATATAACAGAGCTATTATTATTTTATCAACTATCACTATTATTACTATTATTATTATTATTATTTCTTAGAGTAGTTATAAGTGCTTGTTATTATTAGATAAGATTAGCAAGCCTAGTGAAAAATTATTAAAATTATTTACTTAAGAAACTAGAATCAGATATTATATAGGTAGAGATATATATGTATAAGTATGATAAATTTATGTATAAATATATATAATACATGAAAATGATAATAAATTCATATATAAATATATATATATATATGTATAGTATTTGAGCCTATTTCACTACTATTAAAGTTGTAATCTTCTGTTATATGATATGAATTATCAGAAAATTTATACAGAAATTCTAGATAATTAGTAAAGTATAATTTAGAATTCATATAGAAAACTAAATCAAAAATAAATAGAATATTATTATTAAACTTAAAGTTTATTATTATGATAGTTATTATTAAAAATACAGAGCAGATATAGTATTTTTAAACAAATAATTATAATTACATGAATAAATAAAGAATTATTAATATATAATACTTAATTTAATAGTATCTTTAGAAGATACTTATAGAGATATAAATATAGAAATAAATATTATAAATAAAAAATAAGAAAAAGATAATAAATCTAGCTATTTTTATAAAACAAGAGCTAATAGAATTTCTATAAAAAATTATTATTTAAAGCAAAAATAACTCAAGTAATTATGTGATTTTTCTTGGTAAAATCAGATAATTATGGTGCAATAAATCACATGTGGCTTAGTAAGCTGATGCAGCATGATCTATAAACTAATCTATTAATTTATTATAATTCTTATATATATAATTTTTATATTTTATAATTAATTATTTTTAAAATCATATAATTTATTGCTTTTTTATATTTTAGATAATTAATCATTAAATTATATATTTTATTTAATAATTAATATTTAATATATTTTTAATTATTAATTAAGACAAGAAGTAATCTGAGATATAATATAATTATATAAGTATAAATAATATTATTATAATTTATCACAATTTTTAAACTAAAATCTGATATTATTTATAAAATTTATCCATATTTCTTATTAATTTTATTTATTATGGCTTTAATTTCTTGAAAAATACATATTTTTAATAGTGCTTAACTTTTTAAATTAATATTTCTTCTATTTACATATTTTTTAATATTCTTTTATTATTATTAGTTATATTATATTTAATTTTATTATTTAAAAGATATGATATAGAATAATATTGCCATTATAAAACTAATCTATAATTAGTAAAAGTTTTATAATTCTATGATATTTATTAATTTAAATCTTTGTATTACTAATATAAAAAAGGATTAGAATAATTACTTTGCTTTGAAATTCATATAAAATTCTATTTGTGATATCAATATTAATGTGATCTTTTTAATTATTCAACATTTTCCCAAATATTCTTCTTTAACATCTTCAAGAAAGTAAATATAATAATAAATTATATTATATATTGTTCTTCAATCCAAAGAGATCTTTGTAAAATTCTTATAAAATTCATATTTTTATATTGTATATGGAATTCTTTCTACTTTTATTATTATTTTATTTATGAATAACAATTAATATTGATAATAATTAATTATTTTATTTTTTTCCTCTTTTTTTATTTTGCAATAATAAAGAAGCCATGCTCTTTTTTGTAAAATTCATTTATGCTTGTATATTTGTTTCATGAAGTTTCATAGTCTAGATCTATAGAATAGAGAGTAGTTAGTGAAACGAAACAAAATGTATAAAAGAATGACGCTCACAAAATAGAGAGAGAAATTTTGTATGATTTGAGAAAAATAAATAAAATTAAAATTATTTTAAATCTTACTAAATATTGCTTCAGATTTTATTTCTTTTGTGCCTTAACAAAATCAATAGCTTTAATTCTTTTGTGTTTAACAATTGAAGGCTTCACTGCTTTGGCCATACAAAAGCTAAAGAAGCATATCTAATTCTATGGTTCACTTGTGAATTAAAGATTCTTTTTGTTTGAGCTCGGTATTATTATATGTTCGGCTCTGTCACTATTAAAGTAATTGTTATTTGAATTAGTAATAATTTAGTATAGTTATTTTGTTATCTGAATTGAAGCCATATTCTGTTGATAATTTTATTAATTTGAATTGAATAATATCATTTTTACTTTACCTTTACTACCCCTCCATGATTTGTGCTGATTCTTCATTAAATATTATTATTTATCCCTTTTTAAAATTATTACCTCTTTGGTTGTACAATCTCCGTATAGGTTGGCGCAGAAAACCTTTAGAACCTTAGTGATACCCCATTCTGTGTAAATCATTCAGTCTAGCTCTCGCGTCCGTAATTTTTAATCCGATTAACCTCTGAATTGCGCGTAATAATAGAATAGCGTAAATATAGAATAAGTAATAGTCAATTTGTATAAAAAGGCGAGATGTCAAGCCTTTGAACGTTATGCTCTGATCAAATAAATAAAATGCATTGCCTGTAAAAACTCCTTTACTTATGTATATACCTCTTATCTGATTATCTTCAAACCTTGTGTACAAGTAGTAATAACCTTCACTCTAAATAATCCATAATTTGACTTTAATTTTGTTGGCAGAAACTAAGTCCATCCTTTGTTGTAGTTTTTGGTTAGCTGAAACCTTCTAATTATTGCTTCTAAGAAAACGCGTTATTTTGTTGTAGGTGATCAAAAACTTTGGAACACTTTGTCATTTAGTGTAGACTTTTCTTGTTGCTGGTTATCAGAAACCTCCTTGACGTCCCATAAAAACTAAAAATTAACATTTGTAAAGGTTGATTTGCGTACAAATCACCACGGGAGACCTTTAAAAACAATAAAGAAACCCTTTAATTGTAAATCCTTCAGTCTTACTCTTATTCTTACCTTGCCGCACTCACCCTCTAAATCTGTTAATTCTCCCAAGAGTGTGTAACAGCGTCGTATTCTGTAGCAGATTTGAATGTCAAGTTTTAATTTATAACCGGCTACTAGCTATGTGCCGAAATCTAGGAACAGTCGATGTTTTGATCAGGTTTTATCAATTTTAAAAACTAGTAGAGGTGCAATTAATACAGTATATCTCTTGGATAATAAGGTAATTCAAATAATAATGATAATTTAAAAATTTAGTAAGTCTATACATATAGTTTAAAACGTAAATTCAAAAATTATGTTAATTTCACACCATAGAATTTGATAATAATGATAATAATCACATGAGCTGACACTTAACTAGGCATAAATAAAATTAATGTTATGTCATTATTTGATAAAACATATTCGGAAAAAGTGCGAGTTTCCGGACGTAACTAAAGAAACTTTAATGTTAACGGTAACAAAACTCAAAGTGAGATTGACAAAGGTCTGGGGTTAGACTCATGATTTATGGAAAGTAGGGTATCTCTAGGATTATAAAATTCAACAAAAGATATGTTTATTCCAAAACATACGTCTCAACAAAATAATCAAAATCAAATAATCAAATCAAGAATCAAAGAATGTGCATCAACTTAATATTGTAAAAGAGGTAAAACCTTCGATTTTGTTAGATGTTAAGGAAATAAAGCTAACAATTTCGTTATCGCACAAAGTAATAAAAGCTGTTAGATAAGAGTTAAAAATAATATTTATTTGTCATTATTCTTGCCTGTCTCTCAAACCTTCGAGAGCTTATCCTTTATCTACAATTTTATTCTAAATTAAAGAGCATAATAAAAAGTATGAATTTTTGTAAGAAAAAGGATTATTTATCAATTTCATTATCTTAAAAGCTTGGGATCGCAAAGTAAAAATTTTAGTAGGAAATTCTTACTATTGGAGAAAGTGATGATATTTACACTACATGTATAAGGTTATGAATTTCGCGAGGGCGGGCATCAATGTTGATGAATCGTATGATTTTGTCATGGGCAATGATTATTTTTAAAATTTTCGTTACAACTACTGCATTGTAATTAGGAGTATAAGATTTTCTTGCATTGTTCCAGAACTTTTGGAACCACGGGATTTTTCGTTGTTCTATGCACCGTAGATACATGTAAAGTAAATTGTCATAAATGCGATGATTTAAAGGCGTAAACATAGAGTAAACTAGAACCCCCCGAAAATTGTCATAGTCAATGCATATTATGTGGTCATGATAATTAGATATTAAATGGGTTTACAATTTTTTTTGAAGTACAAAAACCATAATATGTATAGACTTTATTAAAG